AACTGTTTGGATTCGCTCGTCGGAAAAGCCAGAGTATGATGAAGTAAATTTTACTTTCTGACAATTAGACAGAAGAGTTAATATAAAAATAAACAGATTATCAAACGTAAAACGTTACATGCCTTCGGACAACCTTTATTATTTTACTTTTATTTTTTGGGGGAGAGTATTTACAAATTTTCTTTGACTATATTCCCATACGACATTTACAAGGAAGTTCTCGCAATCTTTAAATTTTAAGGTTGCCTGGGGCATTCCGTGACTTTTCAATTCCAAAAAGGTCTCTGCTAACACTTGCTGCTACTGATGGCTGGATTCCACTTTCTCGTAGCATCAGCTTTGACTGTAATTTTTGGCTATCCCTGGTTGTTTGGATCGGTGACTGCAATGAACGTCTGAACTCTTATTCGCGATTCTCTCTCTATCACCATTGTGGAGTAGACAGCGGGACCCTTTCGGAGCGGCTTCTTCTGTCTCTAAGAGCTGGATTAGATGGAGAATTGAGCATGACCTTTAACCTTGCAGACATTCTCGAAACGTGAAATTTCTATTGTTATGAGTCTGAATTTTCCTTTCCTTTCCCAGAACCGGTTATCTGCCAATATATATTGTGTTCTCATATTGAAAACAAAGACATTGAAAATCAATAACACAATCTTTCGCGAGGAAATATTAGTGAACCAATTCCGTGTTTTAATTTTTTTTTCCGACCCGTCGTTCCAACGTGACCCATTTTCGTAATTGTTGAATATATTACCTATTATAGCATTTTAGTGGAGAACGGAGTTGAGAAATTAATATACTCCTTACTAAATGGCGGAAGATAAAGATTTAATTTATCTGCCAACTTCTTGCTTGACACATTCCATCCCGATAAATGCTTGACCTTTCGGGTGACTAAAAATAGACTGCAGTTTGTTCTGCTTTTGACACGTTCCATTTCGATAAATACTTGATCCTCGGTGTTACGTAAATGTGTATTTCTAATATCATAGCCTAGGTTTCAAGCCATTCTGGCGCTATCCCAAGTCTTAATTATATGGTTCTAATTAATATTTTAATTAATACTTTCGAAACTTTAATTCTTTATTTTAACCCGCTATTGATCTATGTTTTAATTAGCTTTTGGTTTAATGTGTTAGCTTAATTATTTCACTGCCAGAAGAAATCGGTTGCAACATACAATAAAACATTAGGCCAGGTTTTCACCTTGTTAAACTGGAAGAATAAACAACATATTAGAAGAAAGAAAAAAAAAAGAAAGGAACTAATATAAAAAAAGAAAGAAAAATGCATTGATCGAAAAAGTAACACTTAAAAAAATATCAGAAGAAAAAATAAAGAAAGAAAGAAAGAAAGCATGCGAAAGAAAACTGAAAGGAGAAGAATACAATGTTAGAAAATATGTAACATCCGAAAAAATATCAGAAGAAAGAAAGAAAGAAACATAGCAAAGAAAAAAAGAAAGGAAGAAAATTACAATGTTAGAAAAAAATGTAACAACCGAAAAAATATCGAAAGAAAGAAATAAAGATACCAAAGAAAAAAAGAAAGGAAGAAAATTGCAATGTTAGATAAAATGTAACAACCGAAAAAATATCAGAAGAATGAAAGAAAGAAAGTACGACAGAAGAACAAAGAAAGAAAGTAGTATACGAAAGGAAAAAGAAATGAAGAAGAATGCAATATTAGAAAAAATGTAAAATTCGAAAAAAATATAAAAAGAACGCACGGAAGAAAGAAAGAAAGAAAAAATATATATTAAAACCAATAAAAAAAAATAATGTATTTGAAGAGTCAAACTTATTTTTGTCATTTATTCACCAGATGTTGCATTTTTATACAAAGTGAAATGTAAAATTTCTCGAAAAGAAAACATTTCTTTTTTTCCTACTTCAATGAAACGATTCTTTTTTATTTCACTTAACTAATCACCGCTTTGTCCAAATTTTGGTCGATAACACGTAACCATAGGATGTCTTTGTAGTAATATTCAAATTTATTAATTAAAATAGCTAGTGTTTGAAGATTTCAGTGGTATATACAAAAGACACATATATCAAAATGTTGCGCCCTGGAAAAAAACAAATAAAGAGTAAAATCTAAAGTAATAGTAATTGATGACGTGGTAGAAAACATTACCAAGTATAAAAAAAGTATTTTCAACACATCCTTATTAATTTAGGTAAATCAAAAAGGACTTTTGGTTTATATTTATTGAAAACAGATAAATACAGTACTTTGCAACAGGTTTCAGTAAGCCAAATCAAAAATATAATATTAGGCTATGCTTAGTAAATACAGTTAACAAATTGATATTTATCACTTTGTTAAACAACTCGTAGTGCGTCAATACAGAAATGTAAATAAATCCCTATTAGTTTAGTTAAATTAAATAGAACTTTTAGTTTGCATCTACTTAAAACAGATAAATACGACACTTTGCAACAGGTTTCAGTCAGTCAAATCAAAAATTGAATAAAATGCTATTCTTAGTAAATACAGTTAACAAATTTGTCTTGATATTCCCAGCTTCATAAAACAACTCGTGGAGCGTAAACTCAAAAATATAAACACATCTTCACAGATCTGCAATGAGCGAATGCCTTTCCTAAAAGAGATAAGGGAAGGACTTTCTGATCACTGAAAATATATCTAAGCTACTTGAAGAGAACGTGATTGTACTTATTTTTTCTTCTGTTAACTGTGATTAATTACGTTTACGAAATATATGGACCTTATGTGAAACTCATGGCCATTCCTACAAACATTTCAAATAGTAAAAGAGTTTTCTTTTATAATAAAAACGTTACAACTACAGAAAATCGGCTTAAAAATCCGTTTTATGTTTATAAACTATTTCGCAGAACATTCAACAGCTGTTTGAAATGCTACCACAACTAATGGAAGTTTATATCCTATGTCTAATTACCAACGCTGCCTTTATATAAATCAATGGTCAGCAAAATAGTTACATATACAAATGTAGCGAGTACGATCCTCACTGTGTGACCAACACTTTCATTTCACAACCATATCGCATAAACCATAGATACTGTAGGGCTTTCAGCCTTATACTGAGTGACCAACGCATGTGCTCTTGTGCCAGACTAAACTAGGCTTCAAGTCCTGGGTATGACGTTAAACTACATCCGGCAGCAAGACCTCTGATCGGGAGGTTTTGAGGAGAGTGCATACACCTATTAATTGCTGATGTTTCTAGGTCCACCCTAAAAAAAACATAACAGTTCAACACAATGTATTCTTATTAATACCTGAATTCTTATTGATACTTTATAGCGCTACCTAAGAAACCAGGTGCAATGAATACGAGCTCCCGCGTATAATCAGCTTAATGAGCCACATACCCAAGCTAATAATCCGAATTCTGATTAACAGAACACGAAACAGAATTATACTGGAAATAGGTCAAGAACAATGCGGTTTTGTCAAGACCACCGGAAAAAATTGCTATATTTATGATCAGAAGATATCGAAAAGTGCTATATAAACTCAAAGAATGTACACTTATGCATATGATTAGATGCAACACAAAGACCTATTTGAACTGCTAGGAAAACTCGGTCTATTTAGGAAGTGTGTTAGAATAATATAGAACTTATATCGGGAGGCAACCACTTCAATACCGATAGAAAATGAATTGAACAGACAAGGATGTTTGTTCTCAGTGTATTTATTCAAATTCTCCAGCGAAGCTCTCCTAAGGAAACTGGAGACCCTACCAGAATTTATTAACGATCTACGCAATCGTTAGCGAAATACAAGGAATAGGAATCTACGTAGATCCAGTATCGCTCATGTCTTGAAGGAATACCGCACATAATAGAAAGGAATAATATCCAGACATTTCAAACATATGCACATTAGCTTTCTTCAATGGAGCTGAGATTTTGGTGATTCCACCTTTAAAAAAAGACTTTCTTCAACATTTGTCTATATTTTTTGAGATGGGGAATTGTAACTATTTGCACTATTTTCTTTGTTCGGACTGTTGTCCTCATCAATGTTGTCATATTCACGCCAATGACACATGGCACAGTGGATATAAGCATTGTGAAGTAATCCAGTGACTTGACACAAAGAGTTGTGAGTTCAATACCTGACCACAGCAGATGTGAACAAAAAATTTTAGTGGGTTCAGTTATTAAAATAACTGAAACTGGGATATCCGTAAGAGTTGCTAGAAAAATCTATCCTAGTCGAAATTCTAAACACTTGAAGAAGGCCGGGGCGTACAACGGCCGAAACGTCGTGAATATGACAATAAAGATGAGGACAACAGTCTGAAAGATGTAAATAGTGTAAATAGCCATCACAGAAATATAAACAGATCCTGAAGGTCGGGGCGTACAAAATACGAAACATCGTAAATAAGACAATAAAAATGAGGATAACAGTCTGAACAGTGTAAATAGGGTAAATAGTTACAATGCCTCATCTCGAAAATATAGACAAATCCTGAAGAAGGCTGCAGCGTACAACAGCCGAAACGTCGTGAATAAGACGATAAAGATGAGGATAACAGTCCGAACAATGTAAATAGGGTAAATAGTTACAATACCTCATAATCCTGAAGAAGGCCGGATCTGATGCAACCGAAACCTCATGCATATGACATCAGAAATGTGGACAACAGTCTGAATAGTGTAAACTGTCTTCAAAGTCTTCTTTATGATCTTTGATTCTAGTGTTCCTGTCAAATAAAAATTTGCAGCCACGAAATCTTATTTGTTTTTTACGGTTTATCAACACCTTGCAGGCTATTTAAAGCCTGAAAAAGTTTTTAAAATATTGTAAAAAAAACTATTAAAGATAATAATGATTTACTTATATAAATTAACGTCTATTTGGGTGAAGAAAAGGTGGATCCATACATTTTCGGATTGTATCTACGCGTAGGTGAATATAACTGGATTGGAACACGGTTTTCTGATTTCAAATTCTGAACCGTTATCCATTACACCATCCGCACATTCAAACTTGCAGCATCTAATATTCACAAGTGGTCACCCATCATGGTACTAACCAAGTGTTGCTTAACTTCAGTGATCGTGCGAGAACCGATGTTTCAACGTGATATGGGCGTAAGTTTTACTAAATCTGGTGAGAATAGCTTAGGGTTTTACTTGGGTTTCTTTTGCAGAATGAGCCTCTAAATTTTCATGCTGGAGGATAACGCTTTTCTGTTTACCAACGTAGGACATTTCGACGTAATTCTACGTGTTACCGATCACGTTACTAGCAATAAACGTCTGCTGTGATACTCGATCCATATCTCAGAAGCTCGTAATGAACCAGACACATTTCAAAGCTATGAATTCTGTGGACGGAGTCCTGATTTTGGTGTTGGCTCTGTTTTTTCATTTTACAATAGCCACTGTATTTGCGTTTTCTGTTGCCACGCAAAACCCATTTTTCATCACCTGTAACAATGCGTTGTAAAAATGAAAATTTAGCATTCCTGGTTAAAAGTCTGCTGTAGATAGGGAAATGTTCGGTCTTCAAACGAAAATTCACGAGGAACTCAGTTTCTTTTTTGCAAGTTTTTTTCAGATGCGCTTGAGCCGTTAATGGACAGTTGAACAGGAAATATTAATCTTTTGCGACAAATCGTCCAGTTACATAGTCTTTTTCAAAGATATATCATTTAGAGTGGGTCGTCTTCTATAGCGAAGCTTTTCGGATATGTCACAAACACCATTTTTAAGCTTTTAAAACCACAGTGGACATGGAGGAGGTTTCACTGCAACCGCATACACCGCACAAATGTTTTTAAAAGCTCCTGTAGCAGTACTACTCTTTCGAAATATATACAGTAAACAATTTGAATATAGTGCTTTTGAATTTTCGAAAGAATTGAAACTCTGAAATGTCTTACAAACGACACAATGTCGGATAGAAGAGGTGATAAACTAATTCTAGGTTCAGCTTCGTACCGCTCAACCTTTGTCTATTTTTTTTTCTTTTTTTCAAATCGAATTCACACCAAGCAAGGCATTAAACCCACCGAGATGCAATGGAGTTACTGGATGTGGAAGAGTTAGAATCAGGATCATTGCTAAAGAGCAAGAACATAGGAAGAGTAATCAGGAGGACCGCAGATAGCGATTGATATAGACATTTAAATTTTTGCAGATTAAAGTTGGCTTGAAAACATGAAGTCGGAACAGTGGCTATCGTAAAATGAACGGTGTTCCACAAGCGAGACGTGCGAGAAAAGAAACTGTTAGCATAGAATTTATGTTTACTTCTAGCCAGCTCGACTGTAAATTGGTGAGACCTCGTCGCTAGTCTAGTACTGCGCTTAAATTCGAAGAGTCTATGCACCATAACGAAGAGATCATCCGAATAATTACCATGAAAGTATTTATAGAAAAGGCACAGGGAGGCAACTTTGCTGCGGTAGGAGAATGACTGACGCCGAGACCCAGTATCCTACACTTCAGCCTTGGTTCTGTTTTGGTTGGTTGACTCAATTCCCAACATTCTGAACATGCTAAATGAAGAGACGATAAACTAATTCTAGACAGTTTCCTACCATTCAACTCTTTTCTGCCTTTGTTGGTTGCTTCATAATTCATATCGGTAAAATACGTCCTTACTTTCCGAACACCCTAATAAATCAGAGCCCATTAAGCCAAAATGTTATTTTATGAGTCAGCTAAAAATAGAACGGTTAATATGAATCGTTGGCATCCCCCACTTTAGTCCATATTAATTAATACTGCCAGGAAAACATATAAAGTAGTCTAATAGAGATTCAGACAGATCCACCCAAAAGAAGAAAAATAATTACCATGGACGAAGACAAAGATCTATCAATTTGTTAATAAGCTTCAATCCATGCATCTAGAAAGTGACGTTATCAGAATCACGCAGTCATAAAGAAAAAAAATTTAACAAACTTTCTTCTCCCTACAAACAACGCTTTTCTTCCAGGTGTCTTTACGTTGTCGAATTCACGCACATTCATAAAAAGAAAAATTGAGCAACCTTTCTTATCCTTACAAAAGACGTCTTTTTCCAGGTGTCTTCCCGTTAACAAAGACATTAAATGAAAATTGTTATATTTTAGTGAACATCGTTTTGAAACACTATCCATTTATCGATTGTATACTAATCTCAGAAGTTATATTACCTAATTTTTTTTTAGAAAACATGACGTATCTCTAACAGAAGGATGTCCCTGCGACTCCTTGATCGGAAAGACTACATAAATACCTCCAGAATTTTAACATAAACCATCGAAAATTGAAAGTTCATAATTTGGATTGCGTGAAAACACTTAGCTTAATTTAATAAATATATAGTCGCATAATTAAGCAGGAAGTGGATCTGTCTTCATTAAAAATGAAAAAAAAATTGCCCTAAATATGCATGATCATATAACATTTTACTGCATAGAAACATTAATGTTGTATCATTACACAGACGAACTAATAAAATATTGTTTCTGTACAGGTGGCGCTGCAGTCATTGGTATGAAAATGGCGTCTAGATAGTTGAAATCAGAGACTTCATACAAATCCCGTATTTGTATTGATCATATAGGCATCAGTTGACTGGAGCAGGTGCTGAGTGTACCCTGGTTTCCTAATTACGAGTTTGATTACCTGTAGAAGTTATTCAGAAATGCAAAGGTGTGTTTTAATTGTTTTGAGCGCCACCAGCCATAATTAGCCCACTGGCTCATTTACGATAAAGATATAAGAGATTATACTTAACTTTTTATTGCATCACGAGAATAGGGAAATTGACCATTACTTGGACGAAGTCACTCAACTTGCAGTAACTATTATCGCTATTTACTTCGACATTAATATATTGCAATCACGTGTTGTATTATACAAAAACGAGCATTTTATTTTTCCTTATCATAATGTAAAAACAACATAGAAAGGCTATTTGTATCAGAAATGATCAAAAGAGAGGATGCACAATGAAAAGCAATAAAGGTTATCTATTAGATAGATAGATAGATAGATAGATAGATACGGACAGCGGGTAATAGATAGATAGATAGATAGATAGATAGATTACAGAAAACATTTCACTGAAAATCTCTATTTGAAATCTTCGAACATTATGGACAATGGGAAATCGATAGCTAGTTTAGCAGTTCAATATGTGTGTGTGTGTGTGTGTGTGTGTGTACATGTGTGTGTACATGCGTGTGTGTGCGTGTGATGTAAAAGTTAGTTAAACATGTGAGGATGAGGTTATTATGTTTGTATTTACTATTAGTATCTTTTGGATGGAATCTGGCAAGTGTGTGTGTGTGTGTGTTTAAATAGATTCTACTGTAGCTGTGGTCGGATAGTTGTAACGTAAGGTTTTTGGATAGGCATGTAGTAGTGTGACCTATGTAATTATTTATGAGTTCGATTTGATCAGGAACACAGTTCCTTAGGGGGGGGCATTTCTTATAATATGTATTTTGAACCTAAGCTGCCTGCATTCTTCTGTAGAAGCGGGACGTTAATTCTGCTAGATAAAATAGATACTAGAGGGGAAATGTTTTGCCGTATCTGTCTTCCAGTTGTCTATGTTTTTCAAAGCGAAGACCCCCAAGCCCATTGTTGGTGGTGGGGACCCCTCCCTAACTCTCAGTTTCTTGAAACTGAAAAGCTTGGTGACATATAAAGTCAGCCTCTACAATCCACTATCTGGCCATGAGAATGGAAGTCAGCAACTAGTGAACGCTAGCTGCCATTTGTATTAGAATTCTATGCCGCATCCGCTATACTGGAAAACCAAATTTGTTCTTTAGCATAGGTCAATGGGACTTATACTAAGTTAAAACTTAATGTAATGGAAGGCATAAACATAAAATTCCATTCTCATCCATTGGTATGTCTACAGCTGTCAACACGGACTTGTCAGCTGCAGCCTGTGTGTGTGTGTGTGTGTGTGTGTGTGTGTGTGTGTGTGTGTGTGTGTGTGTGTGTGTGTGTGTGTGTAATAGGAGTAGATAGGCTTCCCTGCCGTCCGGTCAATACTCCTCCCCCTTCTCTTGGACAAGAGTAGAGGCTCACACCTTGTTTCGTGTTTAGGAAGGGGTTTCCAGATATCTCTCTCTTCCTATATCTCTAGCCGCTGTACTGGAGGCTGCCGTGTTTCTCCCGTGATGTGTGTAGTCTGTGACAATGCCTCTTCATTCTGAGTTTGACAGTTTTCTGGTTGCTGTTTCCGACTGGTAGTTAGGATCCCTAACTCTTGCGTAGCGTCTTGAGCGGCCGCTCTGATCAACAGTTGTATAATACCCGGGTGTCTGTAGTGCCATGTCGCGCATGGATAGGTGTCCCTGCATTCATCTCCGATGGGCAACCCCGAAGCCACATTATGTTTTTTTTGTTTTTTTTTGGCTACCGCAATTACACATCATGAAAAGTAACAACGATCCTAAAAGAAATCCTAAACCAGACCTTAAAAAATCACCTAAACCCTTTAGCATTTCATTTTCTAACATCCGTGGCATTAGAACCAACTTCTGCAGTGTTGAATCTTTCCTTGTTACGAACTGCCCGGATATACTGGCTCTCTGTGAGACCAACCTTGATTTATATATTCCCTCCTCTGACTTCTCGATTCTCGGCTACCTTCCACTCCTTAGAAAAGACTCTCAAACCCATATGCACGGCCTTGGTGTTTAGGTCAAGGACCATCTCCCACTGGCAAAAGAGCTCTCTCTCGAATCTCCAGACCATTCGTATATGTGCCTGCACCTATCCCTTCTCAATGCTGTAAGCTACCTCTTCTTTCTTTATCGCTCTCCATCCTCCCAAGAAAGTGGTGTACTTGAATGCATTTCTAACAGTATTGACAAGGCTCTCTCTCTCTCCATCCGTTTGCTCGCATATTCGTGTTTGGCGATTTTGACGCCCATCATACCAAGTGGCTTAAAAACGTTACTACTGACCTTGCAGGCATACAAACCCTTAATTTCTCAATCCCTCACGCAAATAGTTGACTTCCCCACAGGTTTTCCCTACAATCAGGATGGTAAGGCTTCTTTTCTTGATCTATGTTTTACCTCCATCCCAGAGTTCTGTAGCGCCACGCAGCTCTGCACTCTTGGCAACTCTGAT